GGGCATGTGCTTCTGGCGATGAGGATTTGACCAAGTATCTGTATTCCAAGACCCCTGAAGTATTATTAAGCCCAGATGATGGCAAAAATGGGCCTCGTCTCCTCAATTATACCATAATTAGCCAAATGTTCGGTAAAAATTAGCAAAACTTCATTCATCCCAAGTTCATTGGTTTTCTTGCCATATATGATACATGATCAGCGTGCCAGTGTGTTTTTGTCTAATAAATATTTTTGTGTTGAGAAAGCAGATATCTCATTGGATTTACTTCAGAAATATCCAAGCTTGGCAGTCACCAAGGACGTTGTCAACGTTACTCCGATTCTAATATTGTCCAATGAACCGTCTGCATTCTTTAGTGGAAGTGGTCTTGGATTTTGGCAACGTTTAATTTATCATTGTAAGTATTAGCGCCAGTTTCTATTTGATTAATTTTCAATTTCTTTGTTTGGGATTGTTAATTTATTTTATTTATCCACTGTTATTGAAGGTATAAAGATAAACAAACACAGTTTTTCTAATGATATCAGTTCCTCTAATGATGTTCAAATTCCTGTTACTTGCCAAAACCAGAATGAAGAGAAAAATATCAAAGTGCAAGGTATTTACATTCAATGCAACTTATCAAAGAAACACTTTGGGAAAAAGAGAAAAACTATTATAGTTCAGTACTATTTTTTCTCTATGCAGTGTTTTTTGGACTTCGTGCATTGGGCTTAATGCTTCTAAAGTTCTCTGGTATGCTGCTTCAACTCAACTAAACCTCTATTTTCCTTGGCTCTAGTATAATTTTTAACTAATCGTTTGTCTCTTTTGTTGTTGATTCTTGACATAGGAATCAAGCAAATTTATGATTTGAAGTTGGTCCATACACGTTCGCTTGAGGTTCTAAAATGTATGTGTAAACACATTGCAACTTTGGATTACAAGGAAAGTGAAGCAAGTCTATTGTTTGATGCTCTCTTTCAAGCTATCAGTAATGGCATGGAGGAGTTCGTGGTTGCAGTGTTTAAAGCCAGACCACATATAGTTAATCTAATGGATACATATTCAAGAACCGCTTTAATGTGTGCAGTTGAATGTCGTCAAGAAAAAATTTTCAGCTTCTTTTGCAGCGTTGATTCATTGAAGCACTGTTTTCATCGTCAGGATAAGCGGGATAATAATTGCTTACATATAGCAGGGATGTTAGCCCCTGACTCTCAACTAACTCGCATTTCTGGAGCAGCCCTGCAAATGCAAAGAGAACTACAGTGGTTCGAGGTCACTCCTCTCTCTCACTTCATATATATAAATCATATTATCAGCTTATGTTTAATTACTAAACATTGGTATGATGAAATGAATGTAATGTAGGAGGTTCAAAGCATTGTTCCAGAGTGGTGTAAAAAATCTAAAAATAAAGATGGTGAAACTCCTAGTGATGTATTTACAAAGAGCCACAAGGAATTGGCAAAACAAGGGGAGAAATGGATGAAGGCTACAGCGAGTTCTTCTAGTGTTGTTGGCTCTCTCATCATTACCATCATGTTTGCTGCAATTTTTACTGTTCCTGGTGGTAACAATCAGGATACTGGCTTTCCCATTTTCTTGGGTAAAAAATCATTTATGGTATTCTTGATATCAGATGCGATTTCCCTCTTCACTGCATCCATCTCAGTGTTGATGTTTCTGGGAATCCTCACGTCACGTTATGCCGAGAAAAATTTTCACAAGTCCTTGCCTCAGAAGTTGATTTTGGGCCTTTCAACACTCTTCATCTCTATAGCAACAATGATGGTAACATTTTCTTCTGCTCTAATAAATATGTTACAAGGCCGTTGGTCAGTAATTCTTCCAATAATTCTGCTAGCTGCACTTCCTGTCACTCTTTTCATGTGGCTACAATTTCCACTCCTTGTTGAAATTTTTATTTCAACCTATAGACCAGGAATCCTTGATAAGACAAAGAAACTATGACCTTAGCACAGTAAATGTTTCCAACCTTCCAATCATCATGTAATCTTCGAACTTATATTAGTAATAAATGCTCCTAATCATGTACTGCATGTTTCAGAATTCATTTCTCCATAAATGCAAACTCTCAGTTCACATTCACCGAGTATAGATCACAACCATCTATAAATCAAAGCAATAACATTGGCTTTTGTGACTAATTTTATCTGTTGGTCCAAGTAAAAATAGTTTGGTTTTCCTTAAATAAGATTTTGAATTCGAGTCTTATAAATGAAAAAATAAGCGTTGGAAGATTTTTCCTCTAATAGGTCTAATGCAGTTTGATTTCGAATTAATTGAGATTTAATATGATTATTGAATACTGAGATATTAATACTAAAAATATAATAACTTGTAAAAACGTTTGCTTTTGTGATTAATTTAGATAATAACTTTCATATATAAATATAAAGAAAAATTATTTTACAATCCAAACTAAACTTGTAAGAACAATCTCTCGATATTTGTTGGTTCAAGTAGAAGGAGTTTGGTTCTCCTTAAATATAAAGTTTTGAGTTCGAGTCTTATAAATGAAAAAATAGACGTTAAAAGAGCTTTTCTCTAATAGGTTTCTCTAATAGATCTGATGTAACTTGATTTCAAATTAATTGATACTCAATGTGATTATTGAATACTGAAAGATTAATACTAAAAAAATAATACTCAATTGATACTCAACGTTTGCTTTTGTGATTAATTTAGATCATAATAACTTCCATATATAAATATAAAGAAAAATTATTTTACAATTCAAACTAAACTTGTAAAAATAATCTCTTGATATTAAAAGTCATTTCCTATCTAATAACTCTTATTTAACAATTTAGTAAAATCTAAATTACAAAACAATTGAGTCCAAGTATAATTTGTGAAAATAAAAAGGACAGTGCGTATCTAATACACAACTAGATAGTACCTGTGCCATTGCACGGGTATTACAATGAAATATTTTATATTTTTAATTTTTATATAAAATATTATTTACTTTTAAAATTTAAATATAAATTAAAAGTAAATATTAAATATATTTATGTAATTTTTTAATATATATCAATGTTTTTTAGTAAAAAATTATAAAAAAAAGACCTTTCATCTGTATTTGTTCTTATTATTTTCACACATTAATTTAGAGCATCATTTACATTTTTATATAAATAAAAGAATTTCTATAATATCAAAAATAAAGAAAAGAAACAGGCAGTGTAATGCCTTGAATTTCACATTGATAGGGACTTGTGAATAAGTCTAGTACACAAATATGAAAATCAATCACTATTAATAACTTTAACTTGAGTTTTTGAAAGTGTGTGAATTTTGGCCCAAAAAAGTTATCAGATCAATGGCAGATTTTAACCTAAGTCGTTTTATTTAACTTAAGTCGTTTCATGAGAGGATTGAAAGATTTTTTAACCAATCAAATTATAACATTTTTTAAATATTACAATCTAATTGGTAAAAAAATCTTCCCCTTCCCTCAGCCGAAACATACTATTAATTAAACATTTGAAATAAAAAAGAGGAGTACTAATGTTTTGAAAAAGAAAAAGTTATTATTTATTTTCTTCTTCTTTTAGAGAAAAAATGACAAAATTATGTTAGTACAATAAAAGAGAGTTCATTAAGGTGGTTTGAGAAAGCAAACCCCTAGTATATAAGCAAAATAAAATGTAGCCATAGAAGATGGACATTTATCAAAAACAACAAAAGTTAAAGAAAGTGATGTACTCATCTTGAGAAATTGGTTAGTACACATATGACTATCCTTATCGATATGTTGTAGTGTTGAGCTAAAACAATCTTCATGAGTTCTTTGCAACTCAAAACATTAGAGACATTAGCAAATAATAATTGAATAGTATAAAAAGAGTAAAATTTAACGTAAATTTTAGAAAATCTCTTCATAACAATAAAGTTTGAGGTTATCCTTTATCTTAAAGTTTAACACTTACTCTATTAATAATACTTATATTCCTAACAAACCCTATAATCTACTTGTTATTATGATCTTTGAAAATCCCTTCCCTATGAATAGGTTTGAGAAGGCAACCCCCTTAGTATTAATGTTTAATAAAATATAGATGAAGTTTATGCTAGCAAAATATACTAAGTTGCCTATTAAATAAATCAAATTAAAAAGGAAAAATTGATTAAAATTTAATAGTTTTATAAATAATAAGAGAAAATAATTTAGAATCTTGAAATAAGAATCCTTATAAAACTTGTCATTCTTTTTCTATTAAATTTCCTAAATAATGAACAACAACAAAGCAATCCAAAGAATTTTGAAATAAGAGAATCATCCATGCATTTACCTCATGTTTAGTTTAAAAGAAACAAAGCCTTCTCTACTCGTTTGGTTAGACTAAAATATAAAATAATGATAATGATAATGATAATAATAATAATAATAATAATAAAGGAATGAAAAACCTCTCACTTCCCCTCATTTCCCCTCTAATTTTTTATTATTCAAATAGATAAGTTTCTTTTTCTCTCCTCCCCCTCACACCCAAAAAGGCAAAAGTATTTACTCTTAATCAACCAATAAAAGAAATAACAGCATTCCTCGAATTCAAAATAAGGATAATTTTGTTTTAAATTCTCAATAAGTATGAATATTTTAATTATTAATATAGAGATATTAGCATTGATAATAAGGTCCCTAGTGATCAAAAAGCACTTCCCATCCCATGGTCATTTTTTTAAGAAGAAAAAAAAAAAATCTTTCCTCATATCAATTTACAATAATTTATAAAAAGTTACCATATAATTTTTTCTTTATAATATTAAATAACAAATGTACTGAGTAGTTAAGTTAAACTTGAATTGCATAATAAATATTGGGTTTTGTTATTAAAATAAATGATAAATTAAGTAAATACATTGAAATTTATTAAAATGTGTGTTGAACCCAATTTATAATAATTTATAAAAAAAAATATTAAAAAATAATGGTATTTTTAAGGGTACATTAAATGGAATCCCCATGAAAGAAAAGGGAAACTTGCCACCTTAAATAATATATTTGATTTGAAAGAAATGGATAAAAGAGAACAATGAGGTTTTTTTTTTTTTAGGCAACTCTCTTCCTGTGCAATAAAAGATAATCATCTTTCATCTATTAACTCATCTCACCCGTATATTATGTAATTCAAACTCTTGAACTCTTACCTTCACCGAAAGAATATTATCATTAAACTATTTAAATTGTTAGCAAAAAAAATGCATTTTATAACCAATCAAATTATAACATATTTAAATATTACAATCTAATTGGTTGATAAATTCATTACTTTCTTTCCTTCAAACCAAACACACCCTTAAGAAAGATTTTCAAATCTTAAAACATTTTTTTTTTGTAAAAATTAAGTTTTTTAAATAATTGCAAAGCTTCTTTAAACTAAAATATTAAATCAAAATATTACTACTAAAATATTAAATATTAAAAAGTGCACCTTTAAATTGAAACTAATTTAAAATTTATTGAAAATAATTAAAATATACCAAAATAATTCTAAAATATTAGATATAACATAAATAATGAAAAAAACATTATTGTAAGAAAAAACAAAAAATACTTTACCAAAATTTAACATAATATCCATTAATATAAGTTAAACCCCTAATTTAATTCTTTTATTTTATCAAAAAACCCTTTTTTAATCACTCTACGTAAAAAAACCTCCTTTGAGTCCCTAAAATTTAAAATTTAACTTTTTTTTTATCTCTTTGTTAAGTTTTTATCTTGTAACATGGTATTATAATGAAAATCTCAAAATAAATGGACTAAAATGGGTTTTCTTTTAAATAAAGGGACCAAAAGAGAACTTTTTTTTCAAAGTAAAAAGCCCAAAAAAGAGTTTTTTTTTTTCTAAGTAAAATGACCAAAAAGGGGCTAAAAATTTTGCCATTTTTTGGTCCCTCTACTTTTGAATATCCTTAGGCATGATGGTGACTCTCTTGGCATGAATAGCAGAGGTTAGTGTCCTCAAAGAGCCCCACAAGGTACGCCTCAGCTGCCTCCTGAAGCGACGCAACCGCACTGCTTTGGAACCTCAAATCAGTCTTGAAACCCTGAGCAATCTCTCTCACCAGCCTCTGGAACGGAAGCTTTCAGATCAAAAGTTCAGTGCTCTTCTGGTACTTCCTGATCCCCCTCAGAGCCACGGTTCCAGGCCTGAAGCGGTGTGGCTTCTTCACACCTCCGGTGGCCGGTGCCGACTTCCGAGCAGCCTTTGTGGCCAGCTGCTTCCACGGCGCCTTACCGCCCGTTGATTTTCTAGCGGTCTGCTTGGTGCGAGCCATTTCAAATTCGAAGAAAACAAGGGAAATAAGAGAGATTTTGGTGTTGAGTTGAGGAAAAAGGGATTTGGGAGGTCTTTTATAAGGGAAACTTTGGAAAAAGCGGCAAGATGAAAAATTTGTGTTTTCGAGATATTTGAATTAGCAAATCCAGACCGATGATTAAAAATACACTACTAAAGAAAATAAAGATCCGTGTCGTTCTGCTCTATTCACTGTAGCCGTTGATAAGTAAGCAATCTACGGTTCACGTTCATTCTCCAGTCCAAGATGTACCGCCTCAAGAGACAAACTCCATTGGTAGATTGCCATTGCACGCGGATCCTGATCTAAATAATGCTTACAGCTGTTCGTTACCTCTTAATCGACGGCTCAGATTCACTCATTCAAAACATTCGGAGAACCGGAAGAAGCACATAAAATCTATAGCACCCTTCTTGTTTCTTATAGTAGCGGAAGGTCTTAATGGCATCATATCGTCGGCTGTCGCGAAAAATCTATTCGAAGGAGTCCCAATGGGAGAAGGGAGTATGAATATCTCTCATTTACAATTCGCGGATGACACACTGTTATTAGGGGTAGCAACAGAAGAAAATATATGGACCTCAAAATGCATCATGAGGGCTTTTGAGCTCGTCTCCGGCCTAAAAGTAAATTATGGCAAAAGCTCTCTTATTGGAATCAATGTCGACAACCTATGGGAAAAGGAAATGACATGGCTATTAAACTGCAAATCAGGGTCCTTGCCGTGTAAGTACCTGGGTATACCTTTGGGTGCAGATCCGAGAAGGATAGATACATGGAAGCCACTGATCGACTCTTTTAAAAGAAAATTATCAACATGGAAGGGGCGCTATCTATCTCTGGGAGGCAGAATTACACTCATAAACTCTGTGCTATCTAGTCTACCAGTGTTCCTAATGTCTTTTTATCTCATCCCAAAGACCGTCATAAGGGAGTTAGACAAAATAAGGAGGAGATTTTTATGGGGGGGTGCTGAGGAGAGGAATAAAGTTGCATGGGTTGCATGGGAGAATATATGTCTTAACAAGCTTGAAGGGGGATTGGGTATAAAAAATATGTCATGTTTCAACAAGTCATTAATAGGAAAATGGTGGGGAAGACTGCTTATGGAAAAGGGGGGCCTGTGGAAGAGAGTCTTAGCTGAAAAATATGGGATCAAGGAAGGGAATTCGCTTACGTGCTTGAAGGAAGGCAGATCCCAAGGCTCTAAATGGTGGAGGGATGTGCGTAAAATAGATCAAGCGGAGGGTGCAAAAAATAATTGGGTGAGCTCAGGTTTTGTAGCAAAATTGGGGGATGGTGGATCTTTGAAGTTTTGGTCGGATGAATGGGTAGGAGGGAGTGCTCTCTCTAACAAATTCCCCCGCTTGTTTTTATTATCCACGGGCCAAAACGCAAAGGTTAAAGAAATGGGAACCTGGAGGAACGGTAGCTGGCACTGGAAACTACCATGGAAGTGTCAACTTCGTTCATGGGAGGAGGACCTTCAAAAGGAGCTATTAGAGATAATCAATTCGGCTCACCCAATTCAGAACAAAGAAGATCGATGGAGATGGCATCTCGAAAACTCAGGAACCTATACAACCAAGACTGCATATTCCCAACTCTCAAAAGGTGGCCCAAGGCCTGATGGAGACTTCAAGAGGATATGGAAAGCCCCCATTCCATCCAAAGTAAGTGCTTTTTGTTGGCAATTACTTCACAAGAAACTCCCCACAAAAGATAATCTTGCAGTTCGGGGAATTTTAACTGACCCATCTAGCTTAAATTGCTGTTGGTGTGATGCATGTCCCGAATCCCCTGACCACATGTTTTTTCATTGTAATTTGGCTTATTCTTTGTGGATGGAATGCTATAAGTGGTGGGGAGTGCATTATGTCATGAGTAATTCTTGTAGGATGGCCTTAGATCAACACATATGGACTGGGGGCAAAAAATTAATAAATAGAGGGTGGAACATCATTTGGTTTGCAGTGGTTTGGACTCTATGGCTGGGAAGGAACGACTTGATTTTTAACAAAAAGGAGGCAAAGGTTGACCGCTTCTTTGAGCTAGTTCAATCTCAATCTTTCTTTTGGGCTAAAAACATAGCTGGTATGGATGGATTTTCTCTGTCAGCTTGGGTCGAGAACCCAACAAATTGCTTAAAGATCAAAGTTATTTAGGAAGACAGTGATTGAACTAGAATTATTTTGGTTTTTACTCTGTTTTGCTCTGTTTCAGCAGCTGGTAGGATAAATTTTTGTAACCTGCTGTTCTGCTGTCCGTGTAAGTAATGGGATGGAATACCCCTAGTATTCCAATATCAATATACCATTTGCTTTTCAAAAAAAAAAAAAACTAAAGGTTCAGGCAAAAAAGGCCAGAAATGACGTGATTAAGATATTGAGAGAAATCCATGAGGAAGGGAAAGAATATATCTTGAAAGCAGTTGAGAACTCTCCTAAATATAAATAAAGTATTGATGATTTAATTAGACACTTCATTTTAAATATAAATAAAATGTTTACACATATTTTAGTTTTCAGAAAGACTTCAGAAAATTAAAATTGATAATAAAGACTATTTAGCTACCCTTAAAGCAGCCTTATCATGGAAAATAAAGTAAAAAGAAGTAAATGGCACATATTACTCCTAAATCAGCTGAGCCTTTAAAGACTAAGAACAAAGCTGGCGTCACTCTTTTACATGATATACCTTGTTGGCAATCATTTGATGATGGAATGACTGTAGGGGTAAGATATATTCTTGAAGTTTAGAAACCTCACTAAAATCATAACTTGAGGAGATCCACTTGGTTTTTTTTTTTTTTTTACAAATGCAATGGTTAGTAAATTAGGTTAGTTGATTGTTAGAAATTGGGGATTCGATTCCCAAACGAGGGCGAATGCCATCACTTCTTCATCGAGGAGCGCGGCCCAACCAGTGGGCCGCATGGTAGAGTTCGAGATCCACTTGTTTATTTACTTTATTTTTGGGTTGTTAGAGATAAAAAAAAAAAATGGAGACTAAAATGAAATGGGCCACACTCCTTAAAGCCCAACAGTCTAGCAAGCCCGTTGGCATCTTAACCCAAAACTTTTAATTTTCACACGCAGACCCGCGCATGTTTGATTCATTCGCCGTCAACGTAAAAGGATGTTTTATAAGTTGAAATAATTTTACAAATGTCAAGGTCTGTAATCGTATTTGTACAGAAGATTGTGAGATGCATATATACTTTTTGTTATTTTGAACTATATTTTTGGATCTAGATCTTTACACAGATTATTTTTAAATAATTTGTCCATCTTATAGTTTTGAATGAGTAGCGAACTTTTGTTTTCAACCATTAAAGCTTAATTTTTCAAATTTAATTTATTTATTTTTGAAATTTTAAGTGGGTTATTAACAGCTTGTTAATGAGAAACTTGAATTGGAGCGTTATGCTCTCTATTTTCAGCTTATGTTCTGCCCCTTTTTCTTCTCCATTTTGTCTCTTTTTTGAACCATGAAGCAAAATAATATGAATAATAACAATACTAATAATAATAATGATTCATGTTTTATAATTTAGACTGTATATCAAAATATAATTTATTTTATGAATTTATTAAAATATCTTGGAGAATATTTTAGTAAATTCATAGGATAAATTGCACTTTTAATGTATAATTCACTTCATAAAACATTTTTTGATAATAATAATAATAATGATGATGATAATAATAATAATAAAAGAAAAATTATTAGTACATATTAGTTTGACATATTCTAATTTAATTATTAAAATATAATATAAGTGTAATCCATTTAACTGATTTTTACATCTTACATGCATAATTACATTTTTAAGTTTATTTACGTTTACTTTTAAATTAAAAAAATAATTTTTTAATAAATATATTAAATCAAAATATATACTAGTTACTGTCCAATAATCTTCTCTTTTTGGTCTTCTAGATTTTAAGAGAATAGATTATTCTTGGTCTTCAAGACTTTAAAAGAATAGATTATTCCTTGTTCTTTTCTTCCCACAATCTCTTCCTTTATTCCCCTCATAACGTTGTTGCGTATCATACAAATGTAGCTTTTCTAAAAAAAAAAAAATTCAACTGATGATTATTTGTTCTAGCGGCTTTATAATTAGGGAAAGTTTTTCTAAATGTTTTTTTATTGGATTTATTTAAAATTTTATTT